CAGACATTGCACTTCCACATATATCAGAAACCCCACACTGCCTTGCTATTTTGGTTTGGACAATCAATGATCTTTTAAAGAGATTTAAATAGTCAAAACAACTCTCGTCTCTTTATGCATGTAGGTACCATTTCCAGTGCTCTTCATTCCTTTGTGTGGATCCATATTTCTCTCTGGTATCATTTTCTTTCTGCCTGCAGGACTTTCTTTAACATTTCCATATATGTGTCTGCTGGTGATGAATTTGCTCAGCTTTTGTATATCCAAGAAAGTCTTCATTTTGCCTCTTTTTTTTTTTCTCTCTCTCTCTTTTATTTAAGGAAGATTAGCCCTGAGCTAACATCTGCTGCCAATCCTCCTCTTTTTGCTGAGGAAGACTGGCCCTGACCTAACATCTGTGCTCATCTTCCTCTATTTTATGTGGGATACCTGCCACAGCACGGCTTGCCAAGCAGTGAGTAGGTCCACACCTGGGATCTGAACCAGTGAACCTCGGGCCACTGAAGGGGAACATGTGAACTTAACTCCTGCACCACAGGGCCAGCCCCTTCATTTTGCCTTTGTTTTTGAAAGGCGTATTCACAGAGTATAAAGTTATAGGTTGCCACATTTTTCTTTCAGAATTTTTTAAATGCTCAGTACTTTCAAGTTTCTCTGCACATAGCAAGTATTCTTTCTGTCTGCTTTTAAGATTTTCTCTTCATCACTGGTTTGAGCAATTGATTATAACATACTTTGCTGTAGTTTGCTTTAGTTGCTTGTGCACAGGTTCCTTGAGCAACTTGGATCTGTGGGTTTATAGGTTTCATCATATTTGGAATTTTTTCAGATATTATTTTTTCAAATATTTTTCCTGTCTCTCCTCTGCCTCTTTCTCTCCTCTCATTTGGGAGCTCCAATTACAGGTACTTTAGGCTATAGGAAGTTGTCCCTCAGCTCACTGATACTCTGTTCATTCTTGGTTTTACTCTTTTTTCTCAGCTTGTTTCACTTGGGATAGTTTCTGGTGCTATGTCTTCAAGCTCACCAGTCTTACTTCTGCAAGGTCTAATCAGTCATTACAATGGACTGAATGTTTGTGTGCCCCTAAAATTCATATTTTGAAATTCTAACCTCCAATGTGATGGCATTGGGAAGTGTAGTCTTGGGAGGTGATCAGGTCATGAGGATGGAGCCATCATGAATGGGATTAGTGTCCTTATGAAAGGGACCCCAGAGAACTCTCTCACCCTCTTTCTACCATGTGAGAATACAGTGAGACGTCTGAAACTGGAAGAGGGCTCTCACCAGAACCCAACCATGCTGGCAGCCTGATCTGGGACTTCGAGCCTCCATAACTGGGAGAAATAAACTTCTGGTGTATCAGCCACCCAGTCAATGGTACTTTGTTACAGCAGCCTGAATGGACAAAGACCACCATTAACACCATTCGGTGTATTTTTAAAAACCTCAAACATTGTAGTTTTCATCTCCAAAAGTTCAGTTGGGTCTTTTAAATATCTTTCGTGTCTCTGCTTAACATGCTAAATCTTTCCTCTGGCTCTCTGAACACCTGGAATACAGTCGTAATCAGTTTTAATGCTCTTGTCTGCTAATTCTAACATCTGTGTTACTTCTGGGTCAGTTGGGGTTGACTTATTTTTCTCCTAACTGTGGGTCATATTTTCCTGTTTCTTTGCATGCCTGCTAAGTTTTTATTCAGTGTCTGACATCATCGATTTTACCTTGTTGGATCCTGGCTAGTGCTGTGCTCCTATAAATATTCCTGAACTTTGTTGGGGGATGCAGTTCCCTTACTTGGACAGTGTGCCAGGTATTGCTTTTTCTGATTTGTTAGGTGGGACCATAGTGATGCTTAGTGAAGGGCTAATTTTTCCCCATTACTAACGACGAGTACTTAGTACCTTCTGAGTACTCTAACCTGTGCCTCCTGAGGTTTTCTCGTCTTGCTGGTAAGAAGAGGCACTGTCAGAGCCCTGAGCACCATTCCTTCTAATCCTTTTGGGTGGTTCCTTCGCCAGCCTCAGGTGGTTCTCTCATATGCTCATGTTGATCGGTCCTCTGTGGAGTATTTAAGGTGACCCTCTGCAGTCTCCAGAGTCCCCTCCCTGTCTCCTCTCAGGTACTTTGTCCTGAAAACTCCAGCCATATTTTTCCTCCCTGGACTCTCAGCATCTTCTCCTCAGTTAAAGGAGTCCACTGGGCTCTTCTGGGGCTCTCCCTTCCTGCACCATCATCTGGAAACGTTCTCAAGGCAGTTAGCGGGAGACATTCATAGCTCAATCTATTTGCCTTCCATCTCTCAGGGATCACTGCCCTTCATTGCCTGATGTCCAGTGTCTTGAAAACCACTGTTTCACATAGTTTGGTTGTTTTTAATAGTTTCCACTGGGAGGGTAAATCTGGTCCCTGTTACTCCATCTTGACTGGAAGCAGAAGTTTCTCTGGACCATGTTCCATCAGGGAAAAGGGAAGAAGGTGGGAGGCATCATTCTAGTGAATTTCTTGAAGCTGTCTAGATATATGATAATGATACAATTGAGACAATTTTTATGTCCCACCCTCTATTCTTTTTATACAACAGATTGAGGAAAGAGGACAGGTGAGATGTCTCTTTTTTTTCTTGTGGCAACTTTGAAACATCCTTTGCTTTTTTTCCCTAACAGAATGGGAAATAAAAGAATTTTTAAATTGTTGCTGAATTTAATTCAACCTAAGCTAAAAGTGTAAGAGGATAGTAAGCTGAATATTTTCTTCTAGTAGTCTGAAGCGATATCGCATTTTCTCTGAACAATTGAAAGTACACTTTCGCTACATTGTGTACTGTCCTTTGGAAGTAAGATTCTCCCTGTGAGGTGACCATCATGGCTAATGTCATGGCAAATACCTATCACTGTTGCCCTTTTAGCACTTCGCTGGTAAATAGTCGGTCTAATTGATAGTCAGTTGGGATTAACCTAGAAGGGAACAAGAATAAACTCAGCAGGAAAGTTTGAGGCCTGCCCACAATGGATAGTTCTTCGAATACTCCTTTTAAGTCTGCAGATACTGCGCTGAAAGGGGTTGAGGATGCCGTTAGCTATAAAACCTGTCGGGAAGAAGAATGTTCCCCACTACAGTGCTTGCCGGAGCACATCACTGTCTGAGCAATATCCCGCGGTCCCCATCCCCGCTAACACCACCTGTTTGTAAAGTAAAATACATTAGGGGAAAAAATGGAGGAATTTTGTCATGAAATACAGTATTATCCTCTGCTGAGTGCTAGAGAAACTCTACTAGGGGAATAAGAAATAGCAGGATCCACGCAGGTGAGGTGGACTTAGGAGCGTTGGGTGCAACCCTATCCTAGGCCCATAGCTTGATAAATTATCTCCTTTCTGATGCTCTGTACTGTATATGATGAGAATAATAATGCATGACCTCCTCAAGAATAAGACTAAATGCTACTACTTCTCTTGGGGTCTCATCCAGGCCTAAGAGCCATGATGCTGACCTTACCTACCTCTTTGACCTCGTCCCTACATTCTCCTAACTCCTGTGCAGCCACACTGGCCTCTGTGCTTTCTCTCCCACATTCCAAGCATGCTTCTGCCACAGGGCATTTTTGCTTACTGTTCCCTTGGCTTAGAACACTCCATCCACCTACATCCGTAAGGGTAGTTTCCTTTCTACTTCTCCTGACTCCCTAATCTAAAAGTGCACCACTCCTCCAGTTGCTTTCTATTCCTTTCTGAGCTTTATTTTTATTTTATTTTTCTGCACAGCACTTTTCGCCACCTCCCATGGTACATGTCTACTTATTTGTTTATTCCTTTGCCTCTCTGGAGTATAAGCTCCATGAAGGCAGGGACTTTGTTTGGTGTCTCCTGTATCCTCAGCACCTGGAACAGTGCCTGGTGCACAGTAGGACCTCGATAAATATTTGTTGAATAAATAAATAAGCAAGCACGTAGAACAAATGGCAGGCTAAAGAAGTGTGTGCAGATCATAGGAAAATTGACTTGATTACATGGAAGTAACAAATGATGTTTGGCTATAAAGTTAAAATGTAATATAGCAGGCAGTTGGTGATACTATAGGAGTCCTCAGGTATGGGTTCAGCTAGGATGCCTGGGTAGCAATCTAGGAAGGCGATGAAGGATTCATGAGAGAAATGAGGATGGTTGGGTCTGAGACACTTCCCCAAGAAAGAATTAGTAAGAGCCACTGGAAGGACAGGGCCTCAATCACAGATCCTGCAAAACATCCCACACAGGCTGGTGTACACTCCATAGAGAGTGGAACAGCACAACCTTTTTTGACCCACATAGTTACTTAATATTAGCACCTGAAAGCATGGTGGCAAGGTACTGAACCACAAAAAGAACAACCAGCAGACACTTGGGACCATGTACAAAACTGAGCTAGAGTTTTGCATTGGCATGTTCCCCTTCTGAGCCGGCATTCCTAACACAGACTTTTTTTTCTAGGAATAAATGATATTTTCGCATTCTAGGTCCACAGTGTCTGCCTGATTTTTCTACTCTTACAATGGTTGTCACTAGGAGAATTGTACTCACCGACATATAGCTGAAAGGTGGGTCTGAAGCAGAAGTTATCATGGGCCAACTATGTGCCAAACAGAGCACCTGACTCTTAGTAGATGCCCGATCCAAATTTGGGAAATTAAATGGAACTGAGCAATTTCTGCGAGTAATGACGCTGGTGCCACCCGGTGTGTGGATGAAGCCCATTCAGGGGAGGTGAAGAACTGAGTTCCTCATTCCCATGGATGCTGGTCCAGAGCATACTCACGCACTCTTATCTGTTTGGGAAAGTTGTCCTAATCTTCTCCCTTTAAAAACAACCTTAATATCCACCCTTCTGTCTCTGTCTGTCTCTGTCTCTGTCTCTCTCTCTCTGTCTCCGTCTCTCTCTCTCTCAACTTCTCTCTGTCTCTGTCTCTCTGTCCCTCCCTCTCTTTCTTCCCCATTCCCAACCCCCAACAACAATACTTGCGCCTGAGTTTTGCAGTCTTCATGGAGAGACAAATCGGTGGCCACCCCCCATGATGGTTCTCCCGGTAGATTCAACAGACTTTCTCAGGGAGAAGAGCTGTAATTTCCCTCCGAGTAATTACTATCAGGCTCTCACCGCAGCGAGTTCTGAAAGAGAACAGAGAACAGGCAGCTCTCTGTAGCTGCTATAACGGGAGAGCCTGACGAAAAGGAAGACAGAGGCAAGGAGGGCGAAGCAGGGAATTCTGGGGCTTATGTGACCCCCCCCCCCAGCTGTGCTCAGAAGGGGGTTTTTCCAGAAGGAAGAATGTTGGCATCCTCCACTGTGAGAGGGGCAGAGCTCGAGTCCTGTCGGGGGTTTATGACACACAATACTTGCGCTCTTTGTGTGTTTTCCTAGAGCTTTGGGATCTGATCCATCAGACTAGAGGGGGCTGAACTATGTTGGTAGAAAAATGAGATGCAATCAAGCTTGCGGTTATAAAAACAACAACAAAAACTACATTCGTTCGAAAGCCAGGTTATTCGAAAAAATTATTTTCTTCACTTGCAGTGATGATAACTTGATAAAGTTGTGGACTTTCAATCAGAATTTAGAATTTTATCTACTTTACAATAAAAAATAGGCGGACCCTAAATGTCAAAATATAGTTTAAATCACCTTAGGTCCCACGTGTTGCGTAATTACTGTGAGTGAGTGAAGCACTTCCATGTCTTTTTTTCACATTTTATCCTCCCAATACCTCTAGGACTAGGTACTATTGCTATCCCTCTCTCTTTTTTTTTTTCTGGAGGAGATTGGCCCTGAGCTAACATCTGTGCCCATCTTCCTCTATCTTTTGTGAGATGCCGCCACAGCACAGCTTGACGAGCGGTACAAGGTCCACACCTGGGATCCGAACCTGCAAACCCTGGGCTGCCAAAGCGGATCATGTGAACTTAACCACTATGCCACCAGGCTGGCCTCCACTATCTCGTATTTTAAAGATGAGTAAATTGAGACCTAAGAAGGTGAAATAATTTCCCAGAGTCAAAGGTGAAACCAGATCAGTCTCCCTCCAAAGCCCAGGTTCTTCTCTGCTCTCTGCAATGTGGCTAACATTCCCGTGCATATGAATAACTTTAGATGATTCTTGAAAATACCGATTCTGGGGCACCAATCTCGGAGATACTGATCCAATAAGTTTGTTCACGTTGCCGAGAAGCTGCATTTGCGACAAGCAGCAGAGGTTATTCTGAAATGGATGTTACAGTACCTCACTTTTAGAACCAGTGTTCCAGGGGCTATTAAATATCCAGCATCTCCTAGTCCAGCCCCTTCATGAGAAGAGCGAGGGACCAGCCTCCAGAGGTTAAATAACTTCCTAGAGGCTGGTTCACTAGCCCAGAGCAGGACTGGGATCAAAATCGAGCCAGCTGGCCCAGCATTCTTTCCACCACATTCCAGTGGAGAAAAAAGCTCAAGTCTCTTAGAGAGCTTTGTTCTTCCCCTAGCCTTTCAGTTCTGCCAGCAGCCAAACTCCCCTGGAGCGTCAAACAATATGTTCAAGGCCAGCACGGAAAAATCACACCACTAATTCAAAAACTCTCAGTGCTCGGTGCCCACGTACTGCCAAAATTGGAAGCAGTGAAAATCATTTAAATATTACTTTTCTTTAATTGTGAGAATATCAGTGTGTGAAAATTGCCATGTGTAACCTTAAGAGTTGTTACAGCTTTCTAAAAAGCAAGCTTTCTTTTCCAACTGCCATTCAGCAAATATTGTTTCTCCTTTCACACATCCTTATTAAGCTCTCAGCCCAGAATCAGACCCATATAACATCTAAACGCGGTTCAGAACTGGTTCTTAAGGGCAGATGTAAATGCGAGTCTTATAATCCTATGAGATTATTACGGCTAAATTTACTGTTAAGCTGCCATTCTCTGAGCTATTACCCAGATTGGCGTTTTTCTCTCTGTATTTACCCAGTTTGTGTTGAATGAGCCAACATCAAGATTGTTGGCTGAATGCCAAGGCTTGGCAAACAATTGTCCCCCTGTTTGTGGGCTTATTTATTTATTTCTGGTTGTTCTCTGCAAGAATCTGTCATATCAAGTCCCTTTACGGGATGCCTAAAATATCCTTGCTCTCTGCATTTTGAAGCAACTCCGTTATTCATTGCTGGTGTTATTGCAAGCGTTCGCTCACAGATTGCAAAAATCTTGATTATGCAAATGTGTTGTGTATTTTTTATGACAATGTTCTGGTACAATTTGCCTTTAGTAATAGCAGTTTTCTGTATCACGCAACTGTTCACAGACAGGTCTGTGAGCTTTCTAAATACACTTGGTACTGTTACTGAGGCAACCTGCCCCAGCGGATTCCAGAGATAGAAACTTCAGAGGCCCCTTCACATCTGAGCGACACAATGTGTGTATAAAGGAGAGGACTGTTCTAGAAATACAATGTTTGGGTTAAAGTGTCTGACAAAGGGACATGAAGAAGCAGAACAATATGGGGTTTTAAAATTAGGTCTTTGAATTCAAGATGACACTCAGAATGCTCCCATTTCTTACAATGTGGCGCTCTCTCCTCTTTTTCCAGAAGCTACAATGCTCCTTGCACTACGTCTCAGGATGCAAAACAACAGCCCAACACAGTGAGGTTTTGTCCCTCCTGTCGAAGGGGTACTCCAGTGAAGCATGGCAGGGTTTTAGCAGCTGAATGAAACCAGTTAACAAAATGCTTTACAGGCCTGGGAGTCCTGTTAGTTAATGAGATACATTCCCCCTATGTGGCAGCCACTCTCTAGGACTTTTTTTTGCCCTTCTGGAAGCAGTACAAACTCCTTCAGGCCATTAGGGTTCCACAAAGTTATTTAATACCCTTGTGGGAATTACTTTATCATTTTAAGTCAGAGATCAGCAAACATTTTCCCTAAAAAGGCTAGATAATAAATATTTTCAGCTTTGCAGGCCATATGGTCTCTGTCACAATCACTCAACTCTGCCGCCGCGGCACAAAAGCAGCCGCAGATAGTATGCAAACAAATGAAAATGCCTGTGTTCCAATAAAACTTTATTTATGGACACTGAAAACTTGAACTGTCTATAATTTTCACGAATCACTAATTAATGTTCTTTTTTTCAATATTTCAACCACTTAAAGATGTAAAATCCATTCTTAGCACGTGTGTCAGATAAAGACAGGCAATGGGCTGGATTGGGTCCATGGGCCATGGTTTTCCAATCTTTGCTTTAAGCCAATAATTGACTGATAAAATAGAAACACCAACACAGCCATCAGCTTCCCTCATTTACCTAATCCTTAGCAAGCACTCAAAAATGTCAGCTGTTAGCGGAACGATTAGTCAGTGGGAATATGTTTGGGAATGAAAGTCAGCACATAAGTTTTCTATTCATCGAAGAATGCTAGTAAACTCTGAATTCGGTGGTGGGATCAGAACTGATTTCTCAGACTTCCCCCTTCCTAAAAAAGCTTGGGGTTTGAACTAAAACCAGGAAGGTCTCAATGTGAAATCCAAACCCCTCAGCTGTGTGGTACCCACCCCGCCCTGACATACCAATGCTCCGAGTTCTACAGGGAGACATCTCTGCTCTCTGGTTTACTTACCATTCCTGGAAGGGAAATTTTCTCAGAACAGACAGAAGAGGGAAAACTAACTCCAGAGCTTGGGTGATGACAAGTAAGGATGTTCTTTTCTTCTTCACCCTGGCCCACTAACTCACAAGATCCCTTCTCCACCAGGGAAGTGAGAAAAGAAGCTGGTGTGGTCCACAGCCATTCGACCTTGACCACGCCCCATCTCATCTGATCTCGGAAGAAGCTAGTGTGCCACTGGGCTCCTACTTGTAATTTTATGCATAAAGGTGCTTCCCTGACTGAGAATACCTTGATAAAATCAGGCCAGTGTTTCTTTTCCTCTATACTTGATTGTCTAATGGGCTTTAATTCTTCTCCATCATTTTCCTCTTCAATTCTTCCTCCTTCCTTCCATTTTTCCTTTTTCCTTTCTGTCTTTTGAGTAATGCTGTAACATTCAGACGTGTTCTATACCCTTCTTATTCCAGGTATGATCCTCTACCAACAGCCACAGCATCACTGGGACCTTGTTAGAAATGTGGCACTTATAGCCCTTCCCAAAACCTACTGAATCAGAATCTGCATTTTAACAAGATCTCCAGGGCGTGCACTTTAAAGTTTGAGAGTCACTATCCTTACAGTGTCCTCATTGCTCCAGAGAAGAAAGCTCAGGACAAACCTCAGGCTTAAATAAATTCTGGAGGGACCTGGAGGGTTGACCTTCTCCAGATTATTCAAAACTGAAGAGAAAAATCAAGGCTAGTAGTTAAGCTTTAAAATGAGCAACTGGAGGCCCAGCATTGGTGAGAATCAGAGGCTTTTTGGCTCTAGCAGTCTTCAAGGTGGAATCAGGTTATCCCAAACCAGAGCATGATCCTTAAGTACCCAGAGCATAGAACCTTGGTGTAACGCCCCAGCTCCAGGGTGAAGGGAGACTGGAAATGATACGTACACACATTCTGTGGTTAGGGCTATGGGTGGCTAAGGCCACTTCACTGCAGAGAGAGATCAGAGAACAGTAAACAACACAGAGCCATTCCTTGGCATTCTAGAATATAAGGGCAAAGGCAGTGATGTGCTGGGAGATATTTAATAACCAGCTCTCTGGGGGAGGGGAGAAAGTCCTGATTTGTAGCATTTATCGATTTTCATGGCTTACGTATTCCCACCTTGGCTGATTTCCCTAGAAAAAGGACATTTTCACAACTTTGCTGTAGTTATAGGATGCTTCAAAAGATACTGGCACAACACTTTTGCGTACCACTCCCTTCATTCACACTGAATGAATAGCAAACCTCTGTTCACAGATTGACTTAAAAGAAAAAATGTTTTGCAGTATTTCACTCTTACACATCACTCTTACATCCTACAGACTTTCATTAAACTTTCTCAACAACATTTTATAGGTGTCCTCTGTCTTGGATTAGTCTAGTTGAGAATTTTCCCATTTCCAGTTGGAACATTTCATGTGACTTATTACACCATGATTTAATACTTTCAGAGATATTCCCAAACGCCATTTTAGCCTTGTTTCAACTTTCCATTCACAAATTTTTAATCCTTC